TGACCTGGCAGAGGAGTATGAAGGAGATCACGAAACGCTTGGGTTCTGTCGGTGCTACTCGCCTTCCAGGATCTCGACCTCGTGATCCTCACTGTGCCTGGTTGGAGACACTACAAGATATGGCTGCCAACCGATATCAGTGGTGTTCTTGTTGTCAGTTTCTATCCAGATCGCCTGAGTGAATGTCTGGAGGTATATGCACCTCGGAATGGTTGTGGTAAGTCCCTTCCCCGTCCATCCTTTACTCTTTTCTCTACAATAAGGCAAAAAAATCATGGTTTTGGGGCAGTGAAACACCGGTGTTGAACAGTGATGTCATGCTGTCGATGATGATGAAGGATGGCAATCCGATAAGGTGCAAAACACTCACTATGGGATCGTACAATAAGGTAAAGCGTTGATCGAATAACTGCGGAGTTTTTGTTATGTCTGACTGCTAGCCCCGCTTCAGTGTCTACTGCCAGAAAAAGTTTCACCGACAAGAAATACAACAGCTTTATTGCAACAAGTGAGTGCGTGCGAGTGCAAAAGTTACAACGGCCTCGCGCTATTTAAAGGGCACTTTTTGACATTGATGGAGGCTGTCTGATAGGCGATTAGTGAACATCCACCAACATCAAACGCGCTTCTATGAAATGCCTGAACACTGATCATAGTCGGTCGTGCTTCTTTGGCGTGCCTGAATTCTCATCGACTTTTGCTGAATTGATTGATTTCTTGGCTGACTTGGATGCTGGCAGGCTTCACTTTTGAGATAGTGATGGAGTTTTATGGTCTCAGTATGTTCCGGGCGTTCTGGGGTGACTTTCAGGAATCTAAACTTCCTGACAGTTTTTTTACACCGAAAGTAACCAGAATGGTATTAATGCCTTACAGAATAGTGAACAACGAACAGTAAGGCTACAACAGACGATGAAGCACCCATTGGTGTGGTCAGCAAATCAACACTGTTTGGCGAAACCGATTGACGTTACCGGGGAAGTCAAACGGGCAAACTGTCGGCCAATACACCCTCAGTTTACTTGAGGTCGGGCCGGAGTATGTTAGATTTTTCTCACCCACTGTCTGTCCTCTTATCATCTGACTGTCATAGTCTCAGTCAGCATATAGAGACCTTACATGACAATGCTTAAGTGAATAACATGGGCCTGTCTTCGAGAAATACACTCATTTGCAAATCAATTCGGTTTTCACGAGAGACTCGACTAAAGCGCTCGTTTATGATAGTCTACAACTGAATGTGCTGCACACAGGCCGCCTCATGTTTCAGTTGGCACGATATTCGAGATATCGCAGTATGTTTTCTTGAAGGAAACTACTCACAAGGTTGCTGAAAACTCTTCGACAGCCCACGGTGAGCCACAAGAAGGGCGGAGCCGGTCGTGGGCTGTCGAAGACTTTCAGCAACCTTGTGAGTAGTCTCCTTTATGAAAAAAACATGGGCTTGTATTCCAACCCGACTGTTTACCCTTCCCCAGGTTGCAACGTCTGTGATCCAATGGTGGGTGTAAGAAGATCATAGCTGAGACTCATACATTGTGCATCGTATTGTCCTTTTGCTTGTCGATGGCTTCACCGCGAGTCGATACAAATCCTATCAAGGACATATAAGATCTGGTACATGGTGGGCTATTAAAATAAACGTAGTAATCCCAACTGGATCAACATCAACCTTCCCAGCACTGTTATGCGGAAATTACACCCCATCAAGAAATATCCCTGTGGAAAAAATCCTCCTCACACTCGGTCCCATAGTTGGCCATCTTACTCCTTGAGAGCAGGCGCCACAGTAAAAATACCCCATGCCATTGACTCAGATTTTCAAATGAGTGATGAACTGAGTGATTAACAAGGGTGAAACAGTTGTACAATGTACTAAAAGGCGGAAATCCCTGTTAAAGTTTCATTAGGATATCCATGGCTTATACGCTTTGTACGGCAACTGGACTGTATCCATCTGGAGGAAACAACCCCAATACGAGTCTTTCATGCTCGATTTGTAAGACACTGAAGTCGAACCACAGTGATTATCCGACTTGATCTTGCGCTGATCTGTAATGCCACTTTGACATGTCTAGCTACGGTACAGTCTGCAAGATCGTATAGGAGCTGAAAAAATACTGAGTATCTTCATTAATGGATGTTCTCAATGGAATGTGATCCTTTTACTTTGAACGAATATTTCGGATATGGCTCCAAAGGACTGATTCACATCGGGCCACACAACTGAATCACTGAGATTCCGTCCGGGTAATGGCGGCCGTTGACTCTACAGACACTTGAGTTGTTTTGGTGCTGCTGAGGCCCTGAAACACTTCAATAAGTTAACCTACAAAACACTTCTGTCGTGAGGTAAGCCGGCTTCAGATGTTCCAAATCCCCTTCTGAATGGTTGGCGTTGGAGGTCGTATTGGATAGCACGTTCTCCACAGGCCACTCCAAGTGGCAGCTTACAGGAGCTCCGTTGTACCATGGTCGACTGATCAGGCTGGCCTCTTCGTAGGCTATAAAGTCCTGGTTATTTGGGTCCCGGTAATGTGTAGCTTGGTATGCACTCGCGACTGGCCAACAGTCACTTTGACCACTTTCCTTACTATCTTGCGAACTTGCGTTTATGACGATTGATGACTTGAACATCGCGATTGTGAGGAACTAATATGAATCCGCTAAACTGGTTGCCTGATTGTGGATGAAAACAGACCAAGTCATACAGTGGCACCAAGTCACAACACAGAATGACTACTTCACCTTGGGTGAGTCCAACCAAGGAACTATTCAGCTCTGCAGAGCTTTTCGGAAAGCTCCTATCCATATGATATTCACCAACATCGCATGACATTTTTCCGAGTGCGTGTTTACTACTACTTGCATATCCAGATGTGCCCTGCCCAACATGGGGACAGCATGTAGTGCCCCAGTTTATGATTTTAATGAATTTATGCTTTATAGCTTTAATACCTTGATATAGGACCCAGTAGGTCTTATGCTGTTATCACAATGTCACGGTGACTTGCTTAACCTATTCAGGCATATATAGGATGTATGCAAACGGAGTCATAACTTCATCCATTGTCCGTCAACTTGACCAATATAACTATCCAACGTACTAATATTTTGTTGAGGTTTCCGGAAACCGTCCGGTGAATTTTGGTGCTTACCATGTCCTGTGATGGCAATCACCCTTATAATTGCCTTGGCCAGTCATCCATTGTGACGACGGATACTACTGATGACGCATACGAGTGATACGTGGTTTGGTGTTCGCTAATAAAAACAATACCGCAACGAAGGGCTTTTTCATTACACCGTTAGCCAATACAATTATGTGCCACAACCCACTCCACCTTCTCATTCTTCGGGAATAGCAATATTCGAATGCTTCTGATGCTATATCAAAGCCGTACAAGCCGACATACCAATTGGAGTGGAATCCTTTCTCTCTCTTGCATACAGAGCCTCGCTAAATTGAGCTTAAAAGTGGTTGGCCGAAAAGTCCAGAACAGTTCCCAACTTTGGAAGAATCCTCAGCGGATGACTTACGGTGCCGCACTCTGAAAAATGACGTAACTTCATATCTACTTTGGACATAGTGAAGCATTTTCGGCCCATCGTGCTTGGAACAGAACATCTCCCCTCAAAATTTACGCTTGGGCGATACCACCTGCAAAATGCTTATTGCTTTTTTGATGAGAGGTGAACCATCAAAAAGGTTTACTCGAGTTGTATCCTGAGAGCAGGAAATCGCTTTACTTCGCAAGAAGATTTCTTCAGAAAGTAAACGCTTGCACAACCTGTTCGGGTGGGCTTCTTGGAGTCAAAACATGTACCCAGTTGTTACCTCTGAAAGACCTTCTTGCGGCTCTCCAACTTTCAGTTTCTTTCAGAAATGACCTGAACACCGAAAGAAGTTCAAACTGACCGACCACAGGGGGTTCTCATCTGAAGGGTGAGAGTAAGTGTAGTTTTCACGTATCATTAAGATGTAGAACCCACAAGCACTTGGAAAAAACGTTTTCCTATTATTGCCATTGGATAGAGTCAGTATAGTGTAAGAACATACGGAAATTCAATGCACAGATGTGCGCCTCAGCCTTTGTTCTTGAGGATTTGGCGTCCAAGGTACATGTAGAGTGGATTCTTTAAGAGCTGACATCCCCAAAACTTTCAACATCGGACCAAAAACCTACGGGACTGGAATGGGGCGGTCTTAGTATTGAAGTTATGGTGACCATTGTTTCCAACTGCCTTCCAACTGCCTTGCACAAAGTACAGCTCAACGCCTGGTGCAACGGGAGTACTGAACATTCAAATACTACTTTATTTTGTACGAGTAGCTGGAAGGATGGATACATTTTTCAAATCGCCAGTTTCGACAAGGGATAAGTCTGTAGTAAACAGAGCTGTTTTCACGGGACAAGGGTTTGTTGAAAACTGCATTTCAAGCGGTTAGATAGTTTATCAAAAAATAATAACTGATTATTTATTCATGCTCAATTGAATAAAAAGATGAAAAGACTGGAGGAAATGCAAAAACAAGACGTATAGACGGCAATGAGTCATAAAGGTGTTCCGGAAAACGCCAGTTGTCCAGTGCCACATACCACAGTAAGCAGTCTGATATAATGGCTGTTGCAGCCTGTTGTGACCAACCGAACTTTTACCGTTCCCAGCTTAGAATGATATCCTAATTACTGAAAGAACTGAGGGGGGAATTATTGTAACTTTGAGCGTCAATGCTGATGCAACCGTTCGCAGGCAACTCGGTCGCACTTGACAGATTATCATGGGTTCATCACCAAAGCTGAAATACCAGCTGACACCAGACGCCTAAGAAATATGCAGTCGATCATTCGGTACACTGTCGCTGGGGTCAGGGGTCCCTGAGACCACAGAAACTACTGTGTGCGAGTCTCAGAAACTCGATGCTTAAAATCCTATATTAATGTGACTTCTCAATTGCCGGGAACTAACTCAGCGGTACCAGGTGATAAAGTGAGAAATACACTCATTTGCAAATCAATTTGGTTTTCACGGGAGACTCAATTGAATAACTCGTTTATGATGTCCTCCAACTGGGCTGTCGAAGAGTTTTCAGCAGCCTTGTGAGTAGTTTCCGCTATGCAAAAAAACTTGCTTATTTGTTTCATTATACAGGTTGCTGTATTAGTAACAACATGCGAAGGACTGTCGGACTTCCGCGACGATTGACCGGTCAATAGTGGCTGGGGGCCATTGGACGCCTATACACTTTCGAACAGCCACTGAAGGCTTGCACGTAGAAGAATGGCAGCGTGCAAGATCGTGGCACGCGGATCTTGTTTAACCTTAAGTAGGACGGCATAGCAGTGAGCATAGACTCTGGCAACCAATCAGAGAACAGAACAGAACGGATCGATAGCATGTGTAAGCACGATACGTTAAACCAATCGAGTAGGTTAAGACCATGTTGGCACAGCGCGGTCAAACGAACAAGGCAAGGAGAAACGTATTTTCATCAAGTGACGTGTACTGATTCGTGTGAATCACGAGTATTTTTTTGTGTTCGAATCAACCTGTCAAGCGAACTCTTCGAATGCTGAATCTGATGATGAACTTAGTTATGACTTACCAGCTCTCGCCCCGGACACGCTAAATGTCAAACTGGTGTTAAAGGCATTTGACCTAATCTCGCTTGGTCGCTGTGTACGAAGTGTCATTGACAGGAAACATCCGGCGATTAATGCGCGCACACACAACTTAGAACACTTGTGAAAATCCTGACACGCTCGCATACCAGTGTTGTTTACCGTGAACTGGTCAGTAACTAACTGTTAATCAGAAATGCTTGAATTGTCCTTCCTACACTACGCCCGGAGAAATCAAACACTTTCGGAGTAGGTTTTGAATTGTGGTGACATTTCACATCCTTCCGAATTCATTCGCTCAATTTTTAACGTCAACCAGGGTGCGAATTTCGCATCTGCACAACAAAAGTTTGTCAGAATGACACTTTGGATCTACACAATCAAGCGAAACTGTCGGACAAATTCGAATACAATCTCTGTGTTGACAACACCGGGAGGTGCGACGAGCACTCTGGCCAATAGAGACGAAACTGCGCCTCTCACCTCATATTCAGTTAAAATCCAGAAGTCGAATATAATTAACAAGTTCATCATGGTGTATGACACCTTGGCGACTCCCCTCGGCGAATTCTGGTGTTGTTGCTGTCCGCTATTTCCCACACTGTGTGACCTGGAGCACAGCTGGGAACTTTTCACAGACAACCACACAAGCCTACCCCTCCCCCCGAAGTGCGACAAATTACAGCGACGGCGACGGGAGCAGCATAATGAGCGTGTTCCCATTTGACGCAAACAAGATTTGCCTGTCATACGGGCTTGAAACCTCTACGGCTGCCAGGTTATGACTTTGTCCAT